CGATCCCTTACCAAAACAAAAAAATTTAAAAACAAAAAACTTCTAAAAATTCCAAAAATTGCCTTGTTTGTGTTACATGAGAACAATCGTGACATGCAGTAGTAATAACTCATTATGTAGTTAATCATGTTTGATACTGGTTTTCATTGTGAGACTATTGTCATATGTTAAACAAATTGTATTTGAATGAGCAAATCCTTCAAATAGTCCTCCAACTATTTTACTAATCCACGTTTGGTTCTCCATCTTAAAAATGGGGCAAAATGGTCTTATAACAAAATTGTTTGAATTAAATTGATCCCTATGTGGTGGAGCTGTCAAGGGAATTCAAATCTCACAACCCCTTTTGTCCAACTATTTCTTGATGGCTAGACAGCATAGGGACCAATTTGGCTCAGAAAATTTTATTGAAGGATCGTTCTGTCCCATCTTAAAGATGGAGGACCAAATGTGAATTGTTAAAATAGTTGAAGGACTATTTGAAGAATTTGCTCGGATTTGGATTTATCCCAGAATATCTATTGCTGAAGTTTTATCGCTCATGACACGTATCGTGTCAACGCTAGAAGGACTTATTCTGTTAATTGATGTCAATAAACTAATTTCACTTTGCTTCGCGGGTGCTTATGCATTTAATGTACCGAAACTTGTTTCTTAAGAAGTTAGCGCTGTTCTGAAATGGTGTCTTTATTGCAAGAAGAGAAATCTTGAGGCTGTTGACCTTCCAATATTTAGGCATTCAAGAGCATTAATAGTTTGTTTTAATTTGAATTGCTATCAAATTTTGAACTTTCCATAATAATATTTCTCTTAGTATTATGTGCTATTGAAGTTTTGTCCTTTATGAATTAACTAGAATTTTTTCTGTGTCTTAACACGGTCTTTTTTGATTTATTGCGAATTTATACAAATATAAATAATATAAAAACAAAAATTAACAACAATCCTATATGTTTAACAATATTAACTTTAAAAAATTAATATATTCTAAATGTTCAATTATTTACTAATTTTTAAAAATATGTTTACATATTTTCACTATAATATGATATTATACATCAAATCATGTACTCCATATCAAAAAACTTGGTAGATATTCTTCTTTTTTACAAATATTCTTTTAGATAATATAAATTTTTATAATGACCATAAATCTAGAACTACATATTCATATTTAATTAAGTAGAAAAATCCAGCAATTCATTTTTTCATTAATAAATATTCAGTTTCCAACAGTATTGATAAATCTATCAATGTAACAGTTAAGTCTCTTTTTTACACTAAATTAATACAAAATTAAGGGAATAAATGATTAACAATTTGAATACTAATCAACAGTACGGTTGTGAAAGGAAGTCATTTGGGATATGTAAGATTTTAATAATAGTGATTAAGGAAGTAATTTGGGATATGTAAAATTTTAATAATTGTGATTTGGAAAACGTTTTATTATAGTTCTATAGGGTAAAATACACTAAACCCCCTTGTGGTTTGGGTTATTATCATAAAACCTCCTCATTGTTTAAAAACCCCCAAAGTACCCCCTCATAGTTTAGACTAATTTGGGCAATGAACGGAAATCGTCTAATTTGACGGAAAATATGAAATTCCTATATTAACCTTGTTTCAAAACTTATCATCTTCTCCAAATCTCCATTTTTTCCTTCGACAACAGTAGAACAGCTACCAATTACCACAGCCACCATTCAACTAAAAACCCATTCTCCTTTGACTCGGCCTCCGTCACCGCATCCACCTCAATCGAGCCCATGTCCGCTGGCATCACAGCCGATAACAGCCCTCCCAAACCATTATCCGAACCTAGAGTCGCAAGCTGCAGCAGAAGCAGAAGCAGAAGCTGAAGTTGCCTCTATTGAGTCCATTTCCAAGTTCCGAATTGCACTAGTCCAGCCCTCGGAAATCAGCCCAACCCGATCCAATTGCTAACAGAAACCTTAATTGTTCAGCAAAAGAGCTCAAAAAAAGAAGGAAACAGTTTTGCAAGAAATACATTAAAAAAAAGAGGACTTTTTTTTTTCCAGTGCTACGTAGAAAGAAAGTACAAATTTAGAAGCAGAAAAAGTACTCAAAAAGCTTTCCAATGGCAGAGAGAATTTTGGAAGAAAAAGCAGAGAAACTTTCCTGGCTTCCTTTTCTCCCTCTACCCTCTATACATTTTTTTTTGTTTGCTGGGTTTGTGGAAAATGGGTTCTTGTTTCTTGTTCTCTCACCCAGAAAGATTGCAAAATGCCAATAGCGCAAAAGAGTCTTTTGATGCTTTTGCCGGATCCTTTAAACAATCCATTGAAACTTTGAGGCAGTCGCAGTTAGTGGATCTCTATGGCTGAAATCACTTTCCATTCTTTTCATTCCATTCCGTTGAGCTCCCTTGAATCACAATCCATCTGTATTTGTTCCAAGCCCGCCACCGCCTTCAATGCCATATTACTCTCTGCTCAGTCCACCAATTGATTACATCCCAAACCCACCTGGTATAGTCGGAGGAGGAGGATTTGTTCCGCACAGCAGCCCCCGAGTTTACAACTAAATTCATCTGGTATAGTGATGGAAGTGTACAAATCAATCTATCAATGGTAATTTTTGCTGCTTCAATTGCCATGGTCACCACCGTCATCGTCATCTTCAACATCATTGCGTCTTAGATTTCATCTAAATTCATGTAATTTCTACTCCAGATCGTTCAGGAGAAAGAAGAAAAAGGAAGAACAAGGAAAAAAAGAAAAGAAAAGAAAAGAAAACGTAAAATTATCACATTACCCTTGATGTATTGTTATCACACTCGCTTGTCAAGCGTGTGTAATTCACTTCCCGTCAAATTAGACGATTTTCGTTCATTGCCCAAATTAGTCTAAACTATGAGGGGGTACTTTGGGGGGTTTTTAAACAATGAGGAGGTTTTATGATAATAACCCAAACCACAAGGGGGTTTAATGTATTTTACCCTAGTTCTATATGTAATAATATGTTAGAAAGCAGTATCATTAAGGTAAGATTGGTTATTTTTTAAAACAATATCCTTAAGATAAGATTTGTTATTTTTTAAAGTTATTTTCAAATTAAAGATAATTTTTAAACATATAATATAATCCATTTAGTATTTAATATGGGTAAAACCCAAGTGACCATAACCCGTTAATTATCTTCAATTAGACATGTCACATAGGAGTAAGAAGTAACTCTGATTAAAATAATTATTTTCATATATATATATATATATATATATACACACCACAATAAATTTGGGCCACTAACTTGTTGCGCCAGAGAACGTGTATCTAATAAACAACTATATTAACATTGTGGAGATTGATTTAGACTAACTGGGAAAACAAGCCTGTTAAGCAAACAACATTCGAGTGATTTAGGGTTATTGGCTAGAAGGGGACCAGTCATGGCGGCTTTACAGCCATTTGACCAGAACGATGACTTGACGGGAGTTTCTGCTCAGGTCATTTCTCCATTGTCATCCCCTCATCGTCACTTGAAGAGGTCGCAGCTGGAGTGTAGGATGTCGGTTGGGAGCTTAAGAGAGATCAATGTGTCATTGAGTGACTTGCAACAATTTCACAATGAGCAGGAGCAGTGTTGTCAGTCCTTCATAGATAATGACTGTCCTCGATCAGCTTTGTTAGATGAAGTAGATAAGGAATTACTAAGTGGTCTAGACCTTAGTTCTCAGGGTGTCGAGAAGGTGGCAAGGAAGGTTGGCAGGCCAAAAGGTATAAAGAAACAGGTTGCTCAGTCATCTCTAGCTTCATATCTTTTGATGTCTCATGTTAAACCCGTTTAGGTTTATTATTTGGAATATTCAAGGAGCTTCACTGTCGGATTCTCTTAAATATTTGCACAAGATCTGTGTTGATAATGCAATTTCGTTGGTTATTTTGTTGGAGCCAATGTCGGATATTAAGAAGGTAAAAGTAGTTCGGCGCCGGTTGCATCTTGATCATGGCTTGTCCTTTTTAAATAGTAAGGTGTGGTTTTTATGATGTAGCATCTGCAAATTCAACTTTATCAAGTTAGAGGAGCAGGTTGTGCATGCATGCCTCTCTTTTCAGGCTAGTACTGTTCTTTATTTGTTTATGGTGTACACTAAATGTTTGAGAATAGGTAGGCGTCCCCTCTGGAAGGCCTTGGAGGATCTTAGTGTGGGAATGCTTGACTCGTGGATTGTCGCTAGAGATTTTAATGTGGTATCGACAGCGGAAGAAAGTGTGGGGGCTAGCCGGTAAATGTCACCAATATGGAGGAGTTTTAACTATTCTATGTTCACTTGTGGTCTTTTCACTGTCAATTTTGATGAAAGCCCATTCACTTGGACGAATGGTTTGATCTGGTAGCGATTTGATAAAGCGTTGGTGAATTCTACTTCGGCAGCGCATATTGCACTCACTAAGGTCTCTCATCTTCACCGAGGTAGGTCAGACCATTTTCTGCTTCTAATTCAGATGGGTAAGGCTTCACCTTTGGTTCCTGCTTTCAGATATCTTAACATATGGCATAAACATCCCTCGTTCATGGACTTGGTTTCGACGGCTTGGAGGGATTCTAGGTTGAGAGTTGGAATGGTCCGTTTCTACTCAAAGTTGATAGCCACTCGGGCAAAGTTAAGAATTAGGAGTAAGGAAGTTTTTGGGAATATTTTTCTCGAGTTAAGATAGCGGAGGACCTATATAAGCAGCAGGAGGTGGAGTTCAACTCACTGCACGATGAATCTTCTAAGTTACGTCTGAATGAGGCCCAAGCTGTGTATTTGCAGGAGTTGTCCGTGGAGGGGGAGTTCTAGCATCAAAAGACAGCTGTCAAATGGCTCAAAGAGGGTGATGCCAATACCTCCTTTTTTCACTCGGTGGTGAAACAAAGGAGAAATTGTAACTACATCTCACGGATCAAGGATGAGATCATGGTGTGCAGAGAACGATATAAAGAATTCGGAGGTGGAATTTTTTTCAACTTTGTTTTAGTCTGAAGGACATGTTATGCCCCCCGTGCTCCCGTTCTCAGTGCTGCGGGTGGAGCCTGTAGAAGATGCTATGCTTCAGTCACTCCCGGAGATGGATGAGTTTCATTCAGTGGTATTCTCTCTAGATGCCAATAGTGCTCCAGGCCTTGACGGCTTTGGGGGCGGGGTTTATCAATTTTGCTGGGAGGTTATCAAGGAAGATTTGCTTGAAACAGTGCAAGATTTTTTCAAGGGTGTAGGCAACCTAGGAGTTTTTCTAGTGCGTTATTAGTGTTGCTCCCAAAGGTTGAGGGGGCGTCTCAATGGAAGGATTTCAAATCGGTTAGTCTGTGTAATGTCAGTTCGAAAATTATTTCTAAAGTTTTACTAGTAGGTTGGGGAGACTGGTACCCAAGCTAATTTCCCCTTGGCAGACTGGTTTCGTACCTGGGAGAGGTATTATGGACAATGTGTTACTAGCTCAAGAGTTAGTGTTAGATTTGGATAGGCGCCTGTCCATCCTGAATTTAATTCTTAAACTTGACATGGAGAAAGCATATGACAGAGTCGAGTGGCCATTCCTGCTATTCTTGCTTCACAGTTTTGGGTTTTCAGAAGAAGTAGTGGACTTGTTATTTAGAACTTTCTCCAATTCCTGGTTTTCTATTCTTGTTAATGGTCAACCAATAGGTTTCTTTAAATCAAGTCGGGGGGTTCATCAGGGTGACCCCTTATCACCCGGCCTTTTTCTTTTCGTGGATGAGTTTTTGGGTTGGGGTATTCAGGAACTGGGTCGGACCCATATGGGCAGCCGCTACATCTCTACTAGAGTGAAGGTGCCTTACCTGGCCTTTGCCGATGATACGATAATTTTTACTCGCTGTTCGAATTCTTGTCTGATGGCATTGCGAAATTTCTTACTGCTTTACCCCAAACATTTGGGACAGAAAGTAAATGTGAGCAAGAGCGTGTTTCTGGGGGTATTCGAGAATGTCTTTGGAACAGACCAGTTTGGTTGAATCAGTTTTAGGCTTTTCCAAATAGTCATTTCTGATGAAATATTTAAGGATTCCTTTAGTTCATGGTAAGTTGGGTGTGACGGTTTTTGATGGCCTCTTAGCAAAATTCCATGCTCGGTTGTTTCACTGGAGTTCGAAGTTACTAAGCATGGGTGGCAAGATTATTCTGCTTAGGCATGCGCTTGGTTTGCTCCCTCTATATATAGTACAAGTCGTCTGCCCCCCAAAGTCTGTCTTGGTCGCTCTGGGTAGGATATGTAATTCTTTCCTATGGTACTCAAACATGGAATCGAAGCGTTTACATTGGACAGCTTGGGAAAAGTTATGCTTCCTGGTTCGGGAAGATGGTTTGGGAGTTCAATCCTTTTCTAATATTGCTCGGGCCTTTGTGTGCAAGTCATGATAGAGTCTACGGAAAAAGGAGTGGGTTTGGGCAAATTTTATGCATGCAAAATATATTAAGGATCGTCACCCCTCTTTGGTGATAATTGATTGTCCTCCAGCCGCCTGGCAGCGTCTGCTTGATGTTAGGGAGTTTGTGGAGTCGTGCATTCGATGGAGTCTAGGTAAGGGCATGGTTGACTTCTGGCACGATATTTGGTGTGGTCAAGTGTCATTGGCAACAGAGCTGGGGGTGTACAATCCCCCGCATTTTTTGGTAGGGGAATTCTATACTAGTCAGGGTTGGAACGTGTCTCAGCTCAAGTAGTGGGTTCCGAGCCTCATCTTGCAGTCACTCAGGTCCAGTTTTATCCAGATCAAGATGATTTCATGGTCTGGCTTCCATCCCACATTGGAAATTTTATGGTGGCTTGAACCTGGGGGTAAATTCGTCAGAAATGGAATTTTTCCTTGATAAACCAATATGTGTGGAGTTCGTTAGTTCCGTTAAAGATCTCACTTTTTGTGTGGTGGCTCTTGAAAAGGTGGCTTCTGCTTGATGGTATTCTATAGGGGAAGGGCTTAGCATTGGGCTCTATGTGTAATTGCTGTAGGTCGGCACAAGAATCAGCAAGTCATCTTTTTCTCCATGGTCTAATGGCAAGGGGTGTATGGCGGCATTTCTCCGAAATTTTTGGGATGCTTTCGTTTTTGGTGTTTCTTCTCTGTTAGGCCGTTGGTTCCTCTCCCACCCCAAAGTATCGGTCTCACATATACAAGTCTTGATTCCTTTGTTGATTCTGTGATTTTTATGGAAGGGCAGGAATTCAGCCCGGTTCCAGTCGTGCCCCTTCCCCCCAGATCAGGTGATCTTTCACATTGAGGACTATATTAGTCAAATGAGGAAAGCAGGTTTGTTTACATCGACTTGCTTCACTATTGATGAAGATTGTCTGTGGGCAGGGATTGGGAGGGCGCGGTGGTGGAGGCTGCGCATCGAGTGAGTGTCCTAGAGCAAGCCATCGTTGGGATAGCTCAAATTAAACTCTAATACAAGTGTGGTGGACTGCTTAGATGGTTTTTGCATACTATAAGGAATTCAGGGGCTTGGATGTGTTGTTGGCGAAAGCTGCCTCAATACTTGCGGGATTGTGCTTCTGCAGTGATAAGGGCTTTAGCTCGTTTGTCGTGGAATCAAACCCTCAGGTTCTTGTTCAGTTGGTTCACTCTGAGGCATTGTCTAAGTGGTCGTTGTGCAATACTCTGCATGAGATCCGGCATTTGCTTAACAGGCTCGGCGAGTCATTGAGTCATGTGTATAGAGAAGCAAATGCGGTAGCTAATACTTTGGCTTCCTTGAACTTGGGATATCAAAAATATTGGGAGACATTGACAGATTTTCCTGCCAAGGTTCGAGCGTTGGTGCACGTTGATTGTCGTTAACGTGACAATTGTTCTTAGCTCTTTGTTATGTTTCTTTTCTAATGTAATCTCAGAAGTTTTTCAATATAATATAGGGATGATTCCCGTTTAAAAAAAAAACCTGTTAAGCTTATTGCTCAAATTTACGAAGTAGTCCAGTCTTCATATATTTCTTGATCACAAAAAAATAAAAAATCTTTTTGCATATGCCATACTAGTGCGTGGTAATTTGTACATGCCCACATTTATATCATTAGATCATTTGCAAGACTTTGATTTAAATTAATTGGAGCCCAACGAACTTAAGGGAGATTAAAAAAATGGGTTTTTAACTGTTTTGAGTCAAATTTTATAGATACTAACAATGCACGAACTATTACGATTGGATGCATGACATATAACTAAAATTTAGATTTCAAATTTAAATTCATATTAGTAAAGTTATCTAATAGAAGATTAATTCATTGCATTTTTTCAAGTTAATTTACTTGTGGAAGAAAACTACACCTCTCTTTTTCACAAGTTGCATTAGCACCGACCCTAGACATCTAATACATGGTGATTAGCAAATTTTTGGCATCAACAAAACAAATCTCTCAAATACATACTACATCTTGGCTACACTATTCTCTATCTCAGGAAGAAAATAATTTTCTTGACGTACCATTAGTAAACAAGGAGAAATAGGGTTTTGGACTATAATATTTGGCTTATGTGCTAAATTAGTTCCTAGTGTTTTGATTAAAATAAATTTGGTCCTCAAAGTTTCTAATTTTAGACAGATTATGACAACTAACACAAAATTACACTATCTAACGGTCAAAATCAAATTGGACTTAATCAAAAGTTTTCACTTTGTATTTTTGGTCCCCAATATTTAAAGTTTTAATCAATATATTCGCTTATATTTCAAATATTTATATTTAAGGTTTACAAGTGAAATGAAATGTGAATTAAATTAGATGCACGACAAAAGTGTTCTCAAATCCAAATAAAAAAAACCTAAAAGCACTTTGAAAACTTAGGTTGATCAATCCTGTGTTTTGATGATAACAAACCAAAATGATGATTCTTACTAATATCTTTCCAAGTGCTTCGTGAGAATACAGGTATACAATCAAAACAATTAAGATTGAAAGCATTCAAATGCATAAAAAGTGATTCAAAGGATCAAACGCTGCTCTCAGACGCTACTCAATCATTTGGACGTCTGACAGATAACGATCACACTCTCAAATGGTATGATTCGGATGCTGGATATACATTTAGGATGTCCACTATCATCAAACGCATTGATTGAATGCACAATAGTAGCATCGGCTGTTCAAAGAATTTGAGAAGAATTTGTCTACATTCTGTCTGCCATCGGATGAAGAGGATTGGACCTAGAAGAAAGGTTTGGCCATCCGACAAGAGTTGAAAGAAGTTTTTCACTTAGCAATCAGATGTATGCTTTAGACACATCCCTAGCATTGGACGTCCGATACTCCCAATAGCTAGTTTTTTAACAGTTAGTTTTTTTATTGTTGGAGAAACTTTTGGGGCAAAATTTCACCATCTATAAATACCCCTAAGTATGAGAAGAAACAAGACTTTTGCCTACATAAGATACAAGTTTTCAAGAGTGATTTTTGGGTAAAAAAAATATTTTGAATATTGTATAGGCATGAGGAAAGTTCTTGGATTTGTGAGGTTTCTCATTGATGAGAAGTAAAACCTTGGATAAGGTGAACCTTACTTGTAAGTAGTTCTTAATTGGTTGAGTGAGTTTTCAGTTGTAACTAATTGAGGGTTAATTAGGAGAGTTTAAAACTCCTTGGCTCTACTAAAGGATTTAGTGTGAGGAAGGAGTGAGCCTTCACTTGTACAAGTTGGTTAGTGTCACCATCAATTGAAAAGCTACTTGGTTGATTCAACTCCAAGTTTTGGAAGAAAATTGGGAGTTTGTTTGGTTTGCATTTCTCTCTTTTCTTTTATTGTATTGTATGATTAAATTGCTTCATCTTTGTTGCTATTTTGTATGCTTGAGTGTGTGATCACTTAGGCTAATTTTGGTTAGTTAAAATTGGGTGAATATCTGCAATTACTTATTTGATTCTTGAACAACCTAATTCACCACCTCTTAGGTTGTCTTTGAACCCTAACAAATGGCATTGGAACTTGAACTCCTAGAGATTAAACTCAACCAGCTCAGGAGTAAAAATGACAACCAATAATGTTTTACTTTTAGAGGGGCAATCTATGATTAGACCACCTATGTTTAGTAGTTGGAAACAAAGAATGGAAGTTTTCTTACAATCTATTGATATTAAACTTTGGTTTATTATTAATCTAGATCTTTATGAAACTACTTCCTCCGTTCCATTGAAAGTGCCATACTTTCCCTTTCTGTCCGTCCCAAAATTATGTCATCTTACTAAAAATGGATAAATAAATTTAGTGTCTTTCCAAGCATTGCCCTCTGTTCACATGGTCAGGGGAGGTTTTAATAATTATTGTGGGTCCCAAATGATACATCCCATCTTTACGAAGATTGCTAGAATAGGGGAGCGTCCTTTGCACGGAACTATGATAACTCAGCGTGAAGCTACGTACAATTCAAATAGTTGTCAATAGATTACCAAAGCAATTAAAGGCCCACAATTGCATTCATTCTTTCATCGTAAATTGGCTACAAATAGGGATACGAAAGGAAACCAAGCAAAATCAGGTGACTGTTGATAAAAAACATGATTTTCAAAGAGCGTCAAACTTATTGGGACGGAGGGAGTACTATTTTGAATGCAAATACGGGTAGAAATATATCTAAAATTTTTGATGAAATACAGATAAATGGTTGGGAAAAAATTGAGATTTTGTGATTGGAAAATGAATCGTGATTTAAAAGAAAAATGGGTCTAAATGGGGGTTTGAAAATGCGACGATTTGACCCAAAATTATAGTTTAAAAAGGGTTTTTGAAAAATGGGAGTCGCCACTTGGTAATGAGTTAAGGTGTACCAAGTCACCTAAAAATGAATTTTTTAGGAAAAAGTTATAAGAAACCCCTTTTAAACGACTCCTAGTCCACGTAAACCAATGAAAAAGGTTCGGGAGTCACATTTGACGAAGGGGAAGGCAAGGATAAAAATCCAAGGCACCCCTTCGACCTAGCCAAGGCTAGTTGCATGATTTAATCAAAGATTTTCTTGTTTTAACCAAAGAATTTATTACATTTGGATGCACTACGTGAATGCAAACCCTAGACCTAGGGGTATTGGGGGAAATTTCCCTTCAAAGGTTAAGTGGTGCCAATCACATTAATTGTGAAGCCCAATAACGATCCTTTGAAGAAATCACGAATAATGCAAGTGGGATGCAAATGAAGGGAATGCATGTATGCAATGTGAAGGCATAAATTTGAAAAAGTAATAAAAAACAAAGATGCATAAGTGAAAATGTGCACGTGAGTGGGCAAGGTATGGTATGTGCAATGGTAATATGAAGTGCATGTGTGCAAGTGATGATAAAGGTGTTCGTGTGTAAGTGAAGGGATAAAATGTGTACGTGTGCAAAATGGGACAAAAGTGTTAGTGTGCAAGTGAAGGGATAAAAGGTGTACGTGTGCAAATGGGAGGAAAAAATGAAAGTGTAATGATAGGGTGGATGCATGAACCTAGGGAATGCATGCATATTGGGTACGGGGAGACCTAAATCGTGACTCAATTTACCCTTTTGTAGAGGGAATACAAGCGTGCTAAGGCTTAGAAAAAGCCATACTCGTCTATATTCCATATTTAAGGGGCCTCTCAAGCAAAAATGAACCCTATAACTAGCATGAAATGCAAAAATCCTAACATGGAGGGAAAAGGGGTTCGAGGGGCATGCAAAATGATAAAACTAAAAAGAATGCATGACATGTAATGAACATGCAAACATGTACTAACGGGGGGAAATCCCTAAGGGTCTAGCGTTGGACTAGCCCATTCTATGCATTCCGACTAGCGTTGGACTAGTGGAAACGTCCATTCATCCATCACATTCATTCATGGCTAAGGAAAGCGAGTAGACATGCCAAATACTCATAAACACATAGCACATAACATTTAGCATGCTCGACTAGATGCAAGGCCCTAACAAAGCAAATTAACACTTAACACGTAGGCATGCAACCAAGCTAATGAACCTATTACATTCACTAACTAAAACAAAAGGGGAAAGGGAAAAAGGACCAAATTGCTCGCCACAGCCCTATCTATTACAAGCCAAGAGGTGTACACATTACCCATTAAAAGAATAACTTAATGAAAACAAAAAGTAAATGACACAAGTAAAAGGAATTAAAGAAAAGCTAGGAAAGCAAAGTGGACATGCAATTCACTTAGCACGTTGAGCCACATAGGAGAGACACAAAAAGGGATAAAAGAAATTATACCGTCCCCTTTGAATTGATGCCCTAAATGGAGTGAAATCACTTATTTATCCTCCAAAATAAAAGAAATGGTCAAGATACCAATTTATTTGGGAAAATTAAAGAAAACATGCAAACACGGGCTCACATGGTCATAAAGCTCTTAAATTCATGCATGAGGTGCAATTTAAACAAAGCATAGTAGTTAATTGAAGCAAACAAGCAATGAAGTTGTAAAATTAAAAACTACCAAGGACCAAATTGAGAAAACATTCAATTGGTTGGGTCATGGTGGAACAAGGGGGAGACTTGGGGGGCCAAAGTGCAAATCTTAAAAGCCATTTGCATGCATCTACGTATGAAAAGACTTTGTTCTAATTTCTGCAACATGAACTACCCGACTATCCCTTTTCCATTTTATATTTGTGGACTTCCTCAAGCTTTAGGACCAAATCAAATGCAGTTCGCACCCAACAACAAACCACTACCTGATCTACTCACTTTACAATGCAACAAAAGAAACAATCAAGCCAAAGGAGCCTGCTAAACAACGAAGGAAATTTTCTGCTGCAACATTCATCCAGAATTTTTCCAACTTTAAGCTTTCAAATGCATGTTTCATAGAAGATTTC